ATATAGCTGTCAAATAAATGTTGAACGTGTACAATGAAAATGTTGGGGTAGATAAAAAAAAATATTGATACTAGTCTTTTTTTCCGAGTCAAGTCTGATTTACCTTAGTCTTTCGAATGTTTTTAGAAAAAATAAGAACAATATTTCAAATAAATAAATTTAATCTTTAACTAAAACTAAAGTAATTAGTCATATTCAATTAATGTTATTAGTTATACAAAATAATAATTTATTATTTCGTATTAGTTAATTTTATTAGTCAATACTTTTAAATAGTTTATAGTGCTAAATACTATATCTGGCAGTGATAGGCTGCAAATAAAACTTCATGACTTTCTCATATAATGTTCGATGAAGACGAACTTTATACCAAAGTTGTAATACTTGACGAGATCAGTTCATACTTTTTTATTTGAGATATTTTGGATGTCCAAATATGCATCACAAGATTTTATAGAGATAATACCAAATGAGTCCATATTCTCTATGATCACAAGTGAGCGTGCAGTGGTAGGAAAGGATCTCGGATGGAGAAACAACAAAAATAAAAATTATAGATTTAAAAAGTTATGCAACTTTATAGTTCACAATTTTTTTATTTGAAGCCATTTTGATGTTGAGGTATTTGATTCACAAGATTTTATAGAAATTAATATCAAAGGAATCCATATGCTCTATAGTCATAAGTGAATATGTAGTAGTAATTAAGGATCATGGATGGAGAAGTGCACAAAACAAAAGTTCTAGATCTAAAAAAAGTTATAGAACTTTGTAGTTGACAACTTTTTCATTTGAAATTATCTATCGAACAAAAATTACATTTGAAGTTCAAAATTTTCAAACGACCTCGGACGGAGAAATGATAAAACAAAAGTTGTACATCTCAAAAAGTTATACAATTTTGTAGTTGACAACTTTTTCATTTGAAACCATCTATCCATGAAAAAATCACGTGAATTTGCTCACATTTGAAATTCGAATTTTTCAAACGACCTCGGATGGAGAAACAACCAAAACAAAAGTTGTAGTTCTCAAAAAATTATGCAACTTTATAGTTGACGACTTTTTCATTTGAAATCATCTATCCAAGTAAAAGTCACGTGAATTTCCTCACATTTGAAATTCGAATTTTTCAAAAGACCTCGGATGGAGAAATGACCAAAACAAAATTTGTAGATCTCGAAAAGTTATTAAACTTTGTAGTTGACAACTTTTTCTTTTCAATTTATTATGGTCCCAAATACTCATTTCAAAACAAGATGAACATATATTCAAGCATATGAAATATAGCAACTACATTATTGTTTACTTTTAAATTGAATGCCAAGTATCAAGAAACTATTTTTCATTAATATTTGTGTTATTTATAAAAATTAATATAATTGGCCACAATAAATTGATGTCATTAGTTATCAAAAATAAATTTCATTTGTGTTAATGTTAATATTAAAATTAATAATACTCATTACTTTAAAATAGACGAAACTGGCTCTGGTTTTTTTCTAGAAAGATAATTCCTCGTATTTCTAAACTTCTAATATTTAACTAGAATATTGTTCACCGGTGGAATTGTTTCCCACAAAAAAATTATCTATACACTCCTTATATTTCATTCAATCTAATAATTTGACCACCGAATTATTCCCACCATTTTTTTACGTGTGGAATTGTTTCCCACCATTTTTTTAGCTGTGGTTTTCCTTTTCCACCAAAGTTTCCACCGCAAGATCCTAATTCCTCGCAAAGCAACTACCCAGAACCCACTTCCCGAGTCAGCACGCAAAGGAAGGCCGTCGGAGCTCGGCGCGTGGGTGAGCCGAAATCCCTGCCACAACGATTGAGTCCGTTTGAAATTTTCCAGTTCGTCAGATCGTCACGGTGGATGCCCCACTTGTAGGGTACGTACAATCTGATCTTCCTCTCTGATCCCATTTGTATTGAATGACATTCTTCTAGCTCTAGAACCCTAGAACCAATCCAAATCTCTAGGCCCCGGTGCTGCAGCCTGTAGGCGGCTAGGCACTCGCTCGCTCCCGTGCGCAGTCATCGCAAATTGGTTGGAAGGCATCGGCGGGTCGAGCTATGCGGCTGCTTTCTTGGGCACAGGCGCCGGGGTGCAGGGGCCATGACCGCCATGAGGATGACGAGCGAGCTTCGACGATGCCGCCGCTGACCTTGGCCGGACATGTGGACGGGCAGGCCGTGCTTGTTGTACGCGCCTCCTCCACGCCGTTGCGAAGTGGCCATGGCCCGTGGACGACCTCTATTGTCACACGCCCCTCTCACCTTCCGCTTCATTCTAGGCAGAGGCGATGAGCTCCGCTCAGCTCTGTAGCTGCAGCATATAGATCAAATGGATAATACCTATATTATCGTACCCATACCCACAAACAAATGGATAATCCATATCCTCCCCAAACAATATGGGTACGGATTTGGGTATGGACACTGGTTATCCAGGTGCCTGGCAGAATTAGTTTGCTATAAATAAACCATACCAAATCTCTAATATTTATGTCCAGCAGACCAAACGTCACTGGCATTTGTTATCAGAGATGTTTTCTGCGTTGCTAATTTTCTTTGGTTGTTGGTATATGCCAAATTGAAAGTCTTTACAATAGTATAGAATATCTCAGGAGTAATATTTATTTATTTATTTATTTAAGAATGATCACTTTACTTTATAACTTTGATAGGCATATATTATTGTGATAGACTATAACCTTTAATTCATTTGTCATTTGTACCTTATAGTCTTCAAAAATTATTTTCTCCTTACAGCAAAACAATCATACGGGAAAATGATTTAAGCAGGATTTGGGGAGTAACTGGCTATATACTCTTTACTTTATTATGTAATCAATAGATACCTGAAGGTAGCTTATAGTCATTACTGTTTCAATCTTCACTGGACTTTTTTGTTTATGTGGAAGATATAGCGATTCACTGAAGGTTTTTTGTTTACTTGCTATTAGTCTAGAAAAATCAATCTTATAGTCTAGAAAATCAATTAACCAATGCTCCAATTGAATTGGAAACAAACACTAACAATTGTTGCTAGGGTGAACACGATATTGATTCATTTATTTTATTTGTTCGAAGTTGCTGGAATGAAAAATCTTTTTTCACATTCCAGTAACATACAAAGTGGCGCCAAATCAGCTTTTCTCTTCCAGCTTTTCTTATTTTTCTCACCCACACCGCACATGCCTCTACAGCCTTTAGGCGCCAAATCAGCCCCGCCGCCTGCTGGGCATGTGAATGAAAACCCAAAATCCTCCCGCGTCCATCCTTGATCTCTCCCCAAAATTCTCTTCCCTCCCGCTTCTCTCATTCCCACGATCCACATTGCCTCTCCTCCGGTCCTTCTCTCCCTCTGCCAGGAGCCTGCACACCAATCGCACTACGCTCAACGAGATTGTGTTCCTGCAGGTGACGCCGAGCTCCTTCCACCCCTCCTTTTCTGCATGCGACTTTGAGTTCCTGCGACCTGTGGATCCTGCCATCCCGTCGAATGTCAGTTTTCTACCGGCAGATCAATCTACAAGCATCTCCAATTTGCAGAGCTAATTTTTGTGGAATTTTCGTTCTTCCTTTTTGGGTGCGATTTGGGGCGAATCTATTGAGGGGTTTTGATTGTAGGATATGTGACAAGATATCTTTGTCATCAATCGATTTGATCCCCTCACAGAAACCTTCAATTTGGGAGTTTGGCCAAGGTTTTCCCTTTTCTAGGGTTCCCAGAAACTGGAGATGAATTTTCAATCTTTAATTCTTTATTAGTGTTAGCGGTTAGAGTAGAACACCCATGAGATATGAGATAGTGGTGCCATGGTTTGAATTTCTTTTCCATCGATCTTGATTTGGTTTGTTTGATGAGGTTTGAAGCAGCTCTGCTTCAGTTGCATACTGTGCCATTTCTGAAAATGTCTTCTCCAGAAGATGAAATAGTTTGCCTGCTCTTCCTTTCATTGCTTGCCATGCTATTTCCATATGATCTTAGTTCCCTACAGATGTGCTCCATCCTAGCAGCGGCCACTCCAACATTCCAAGGAGCAGGACACGGACAGCTCATCTCAGTTGTATAGTGCTGCTACATATAGCTGTCTAGGTGATTTATTTACATTTTTTTCTCATGGAAACACTTTTGTGGAGGGGGATTTAGAATTCAGCAGAGGAGAAAGAGGATTAAAAACATTATAATTTCAGGTCGCCGGAGGAGCTGAGCTGCTGCACTTCGACAATTAGGTAAGCTGGTAGCAGTGCATCGGTAGCTTATCTGCTCATGGAGTTGCAGCTTTCATTTGCTCGCACAGGCAAGGGCAAAGTGCTAGCATTTTGTCATTCATGTTAGAGAATACTCCGAGCAGCAGTTTAGTATGCTTTTGTGAAATGTCCTATCATGATGCAGTGGATCCATCTTTTAATAATTTCTGCTTTCATGCTTTTAGTAATTATTTATTCAATACTTGCTAGCTTCTTAGGTTAGCTTTTTGTGCATGGTTGAAATGGGACAAAACAAAGGGCAGACTTTTCACATTTTATTTATGACCTCTGTTTCAGTTCTACCCAGTCTGTGTATACGACTTAGTGCTTGATTGTTTCACTAGTGTCATGGTATGTCAGCCCATTTATTTAATTCAAGCTAACTGGACACTACTATATATAAAGTTAATTTTCAATCAAGCAAAACAATAACAGTGATTTTCCCTCCTAAATGTTAGGAAAAATAAATTATCATACATGTTAATTTTATATCTTATTTAATGTAAAGAACCTTCTGGACTATTTTTGTTCGTATATATGTGTCATGCTCTACACTATCCTATCTGAACCATAGCACTTTACTTGTTCTCAAGCTCCAAGTTCAAATAACATTACAAATATGCACTTTAGTCAAATTGTTACTATTCGGTTATACTTGATTCTTATTTGTGAATTATCCTATGCTTTATTCTTATTTTTCTATTGGTGCTTTATTTTATTTAGATTGTGCTACCATGGCGGTGGATAATTGGACCATAAATCTGGAATGCGATGGGAAAGCTGAAGGACATAAACATGTGCAAAGGGAAATGGATAGAGATGAGATATGCTTTTTCAACTTGATTGATCTGATCGAGGGTTCTGGGTACACATCAGTCAACTATCTATACTACAAGAGAAAAGATAGCTTGGTTGTAATACAACAAGATTCTGATGTGATGGAAATGCTCAACGAGTGTGAGAGCGAAAAGACGGTTAATTTATTTGTGACGAGGCAGAGACTGGCCACTTTAGCGCCTACCAAGTCTAACAAAGAACCATCCAAATCTAAGCCAAAAAAAAATAAAGGTATTAGAATGAACATATAATTTACTTTTCTATGTATATTTGATTATTCAAGGACAACTATTCCAATTTTTGGGCACCATAGCAAGAAATGGTGGTTACTGTCGTGTTGGTGCCAAAGATTGGAGAGAAGTTAAGAAAAACAATGCAGAAACCATAATTCAATTCATCCAGGTTAGCTAAATTTTACAAGACATAATATTTTTATAAGATTAAGTATATATATGCTTGTTATCATGTCATGAAGTCCAATTCATTCATTAGTGACTTTCTTATTTTAGACAAAGTTCTTATATCCTCATTCATGTGAGAAATGGATATTGAAATCAATTGGAAGAGATCGGAGAAAATACAAGGCAACATTAAAAAAGTCACTATTTAATCCAAAGAAGAAAAAGTCTGTTTTGAACAAGCGTTGTCCAGATGATATCGATGAAGATCAATGGAAGGCCCTAGTAAAATATTGGAAGTCCAGCGAAGGACAAGTAAGGCACCATTATTGACGCTATTTGGCTTTTTTACTATCACTATCTATACCATTATTGATTTTTATATGTATAATGGTTCATTATCTATTAATTTACTTTTCTTGTAGACCCTAAGTGAGAAGAACAAAATTAGTTGTGAAATGAAGAAGACAACACATACAGCCGGTACAAAGAGTTATGCTCGTTTATATATGATTCTTCTTACTTTTCCTTTACTGCTATTTTTCAGAGGCAAACTGATCCTGAAAAAAAACAGCCACATAGAGCAAAGGTTTACCTCACAACTCACAGGAAAAGGGGAAAAGGGATAAATGAACCAGTGGTATGCTACATGCACATGAGAATTTTTGCAAATATAAAATTATTTCTGTTTTCTAATGTGTGGATTTCTTGCTTGTAGGTTGAACTGGAAAATCTCCTAGACACACAACCAGAGTTAGCATAAAATAGTGAGGGAGGAGTTGCATGGGAAGGTGATGCATTACATCAGGTGTTGGGAGAAGGGAAAGCTGGACAAGTGCACGACATGGGATTGCTTCCAGTTCCTAAACTAGTTTATGGTCGAAGAACACACCATTTTAAGGACATTAATATAGTTTCACTAGATGGCTCATCATCTGATGTAGAGACTCACATGTTGGAGGAAATAAGGCAACTCAAAGAGCATTCTAGAATGCAAGACAAAGTTATTCAAGAACTAAAAAACAATCAAAGGCACCGTGAGAACCAAGAAGCAACAATGGTAACAATGTACATTTTAATTTGTAACTTCGTATTGAAATGTGTTACTCAAACTTTATTTCTTTTCTAGGGACATTGTGCTAGGAGTAATTATAACAATTCTCAGCATCAAGCGGTGCTTTCTAAAAGAAAGGTATTTGCTCTATTTTCCATGTTTTCACCTAATTTAGTCTTTTGGCTTTAATATTGTTTCAAATTTTTAGAGAGTTCACTGTGTTGCACCCAACCAGAATGATGGATTCCTTGAACACAGGGATGAATTGGTAAAGTCACTTTCTTATGAATTTAATACTATTTTATTCACAAAGGATTTTTTTTATATTAACTCATGCTACTGTCTTTTTTCTCTTTACTAGAATAAAGAAACATGTGAGTCTGAATATAGTGATGATGACAGTCTACTTTTATCCACCACAAGTAAAACAACAAAGAAACAAAAGGTATATATGAACAACACTTTACTGTATTTATAGAGGAATTTTTGTCTTAATATTTCATACTTCATTTTATATGTGTAAGGGTCATCATGGAGGGTCTGGAGAGACTACAACCATTGCACACCAGGAGGTGGCTCATGACAAGGTTACATGCAACAAGCGTCAAGCACCTAAACAATTTCCTGTAATGAAGGTAGATGAACATAATACACTTGTTCTAATTGCATGATCTTGATGTACAACTAAGGGTTGTTGGTCACTAAGAGATTATGTCAAATTAATGTAGGTTGGGTCCATGGTGCTACTAATGACTTCAAAATATCCTAATAAGGCTAATGTGGCCAATGCAACTCTCTTGAGCACTGATCCAGAAGCCATTGTTGGTGGAGTTAAGACAGGAAGTCAATTCTACAAAGTGCGTATCGATCATGCTATAGCAAAAGATGAGCCATTAGTGAGGCCTAGGCTTGGGTGCAACAATATTGGTGATGCTCAATCCAAAGGAGTCTCAATTGCTTGGCCTTCGATGTTTGTATGTTCAAACTAGCTTTCTTAACTTACATCATTGTACATATGTGGCCTAATTTCTAATCTTACAACTTACATTTTCTTTATAGGTTCAAATGATTAATGGTTGAATTCCTACATCGAAGTGTACAAAGAATAATGGAAGAAGAAACAATGGACTTTATGAATCCTAGCTAGTTCTTGAATTTTTCTTTCTAGTATGGACTATGTGTGTTTGCTCTCTAAAGCCATATCGTTATGTACAAATACTATGATTTAATCTGAACAAGCACTATGATTGAAATCATCCTACTATATGTGGATCTTGTTATGATTATTGAAATTTGTGGTTTATGTGATTTTGTAATGTGTCATGTTTGTGTGATTCTATAATAATCGGTGTACCACATATATAGGCAAAACAAATATTTGTTTCCTAATCTGAATATGTTACAATAGATATAAACAAGTGTTACAAACCATGTGTTCCTTTGTTCCATACTGTGCTCCAACATAATGTAGAAGTGTTACTAGAACTTAAAAAAAGTGTTACAATAGACAATCACTATAACACTAGGCAAATGTTCCCATAGATAAATAAATGTGTTACAAACTATGTATTCCACCATAATGTGAAGTGTTACTAGAGAAAAAAAAAGTGTTACAACAAACATCATTGTAACACTAGATAAATGTTCCTATAGACAAGTAGATGTGTTACAATAAACATGTCTATAGTAACATGGCCAATTGGAATACACAAAAAAATGTGTTATTAAGAGAGCTAGTAACACTTTTTCCAACCTACAGTAACACAAGTTGATGTTACTGTATCCCTGTGCTGTTGTAGTAGTTGTCATGAACTATGGTCCACTACGCAAGTATGTAATCTTGTTCATGCTCGTGCTAGACTCTTACACCATGCCCTCCTTTAGGAAAATATAAATAACAATACCCTAAATACTTCTGGGTAAAATGCTACAACGATAGATCCAAGCGCTTGCGGATATTTTCTGTAATTGTTTAGAACTATCGTAGTTGGTGTTTCTTGGTGGCGCCGCTAGGGTTAACTCAATCTTAGTGATGGTGTTAAGAAATATCAATAGGCATTTCTAGCACCATTACCGAGGATGGACTTAAAACCTCCACACTTGGTGATTGCGCTAAGAAATGCCAACACCAGGCAAGCAGGAAAACCCTTTTTTGAAGAATGTTGGTATCCTAAGAAGCTACACCAAAGTAGAGACATCGGCGGAGATGACACTTCAGGAGCAGCTTGCTGGTGAACAGGAAAGTACCGCTGCCCTCGTTGAACTAGTGGATGAACTAAAGAGGAAGATAGGTGAGTCTAAAAGGGAGTTTGAGGAATTCAAGAAACAGCAACAGGAGGAGTACACTAGGCTCTGTGAGCAGGTCATGCGCTTAAGCTCTCCTAGTAATTAACTTTTAGTCTTCAACTCTTGTGGCTTGATGCGGTGAACATTTGTGGTCTGTTGTGTGGACTCATGTGATGGTTTGTTGTGGTCAAACTCTGTCAGTGGCTTGCTACTGATGTGTGAAATGCTAATTGTGGGTATTTGATTACCAGCTTGAATAATTATGTTGTCAATCTATCCAGTAGTGATGATCGTGAATTACTTTTTTGATGTAATTAGTCCTGCACGTGGTAGAACCCAAACAACCCACGTGATCAAATAAAAATGCGACACGTGGACCAACCAGTGCATGACACATGAATTGGCTAGGGCATGACACGTGGGCTATTAAAAATCTAACATGTGGAAGGAAATTGTCAAGCCACGTGGACGTATAAAAATACGACACGTGGACGGACAGCATCGTGACGCGTGGTCAAATAAGAAACGGACATCTAGACCAATAAAAATATGACACGGGGTCCAATGAAGAAGTGACATGTGGAACAAGGAATGACACATGGTCCAGTAAGAACCTGAAATGTGCATGAACCAGAGATGGCCACGTTGTGCAATAAGAAGGTAACACGTACCCAAACCATCTGCAATGGAACCGGCAATAGCATGTACACGTGGAAAGTATCTCCAACGGAAGCACCCACCAGCATGGCAGCTCCCCTACCACGCATGCCAAAATAGTTCTATAGCGTTCTGTTTTCGTCACAGATCGAGCCACTTCTATGACGATTTGCGAAAATAGTCATAAAAGTTCAAGTATGACACGACTTCTATGACGAACCAGTTTTCATCATAAATTCATCATAAAACTAAAATTATGACGAATTTGCCTCCTTCAGTGATGAAAGGTGATTGTCATAGAAGTGGATATTCCTAGTAGTGACCTATGGGCCTACCGAGCCCATGCATGGGTCGCCACTGCCGTCGCTCGCTGGATCCGCCACCAGGAGGAGTGCCACCACTGAATCTGACCTCCCCGTCACCAGATCCGCTTGTAGATCTGCCGCTCAGGGCGTCTACACTAGAACCGTCATGCCCTCCATCAGATCCACTGCGAGGCCACACATCACCGCACCGGAGGAGGGGGCCGGGCCCCCGCATGCCACACTGGAGCAGGAGGTAGGTCGCCTTGCGATGAAGGCCTGGATCTGATCCCCTATGCTCGTCGTCGCCTAGATCCAGTCGAAGAACAGCGCGGTCGGCCTAGATCCAGTCGAAGAACAGGCCGCGGATCAGGATGGAGTCGATGAGGGGCATGAGCTCATGGAAGCGGCAGGAGACGAGGGAGCAACGGCTGAGCCTACACCGCCACCGGAGTGCCGCACCTCCTGCGCCCATCCTGGCCTAGGGTTAGCTGTGTGCATCACCGGAGCCTGTTGTCTGCTTTTGGGGTGTGAGCGAGATGGGCAGGGGCGTCGGGAGGGGAGGGGAGGGGGCGCACTAAGGAAGGGGATGGGAGGGAGCGTTGGGATGGGGACGGGAGGGAGCATTGGGCTGGGGACGGGAGGGAGCGTCGGGCAGGGGATGGGAGGGGACGAGAGTGAGAGACGGCTAAGTGAGGGAGAAGTGAGTGAACCCTAACTCCCCTCCTGTATATATAAACCCAATAGTTGGATTGGATATGGGCTTTTTCTGGGCCATGGGAGTACTAACCGAGGCGGACCTTATAAGAGCCCCGCCTTAGAAAATGGGGTACTTTTTTAGGCGGGCCACTTATAAGGCCCACCTCCGTTAATAGATTTTAGGAGGCAGTTAAGTTGTGACCGCCTCGGTAAATTGATTTTGCAAGGGGTTGATTGTGACCGCCTAGGTTAATAAAAAATGACCGCCTCAATTAATCCCAGGCATTAATCGAGGTGGTTCAAATGCCCGCCCGCCTCCGTGCCCCTTTGTATGGGTCCGCCACAAAGAAAATCCATCATCAAGGTGCATGTATGGTGATGACGTCAGTTTACTAGAAATGATGACATGTATTGATTAACTAGAAGCAATCTACTGATTAACTAGAAGCATGGTGTAAGTAATACCATGACGCCTAAGAAGGGGGGTTTGAATTAGGCAACTTAAAATTCAACTCTAAAATTATGGCCTCTTTTTCTAACCTTAGCAAAACCTATGCAAAAGATAAACTATCTAAATGTGCAACTACAGTTTTGCTAGTGTATTGCTATCTCTACTGCAAAAGGATTAATACAAACTTTGTAAATGCGGAAGCTAAAAAGCAAGGTAGATATATGCAAACTCCCATCGACGACTCTAGTTTTTTAACCGAGGTACCGACAAGCGCGCAAGCTTCTCCCTAGTCCTCGTTGGAGCCCCTCACAAGGGCCAAGCTCCTAGTCGGGTAACTCCGTGGATAGCCTCGGGCCTTCCCCACACACAAGTGGGTCTTCGACGTGCCTTCCGGCAAGCCTCTCCTAGATGCTGCCCGTCGTCTTCACTATCAACGTTCCGGCCGAAACATCGCGGGCCTTGTTCCCTCTGATACACGGTGGCGGCCACACCACAAACGCGGATGGTGTGATCTCGCAAGACTACAAGCCCCTCCGATGTACAACAATGGTGCGCGCAAGCACCGGGTAGTAAGAGGTATGCAAACCTCACTAAACACTAGACCTAAACCTAGAGCAAGCGCATAAGCGGTGGTCTAATCAACCTAAGCACTTCGCGAAGCATCTACGCTAATCACCTAATGAATCACTAAGCACTATGCAAGTGGAGATCACTAAAATGGTGTATCAACACCATAGATATGTTTCCTCAGCTCCACACCTATCAAATGGCCGGTTGGGGGTCTATTTATAAACCCCACTTAGAAAGTAGCCGTTGGGGACGAAATCCCGCTTTTCTGCTACTGACCGGACACTCAGGTCGTCCTGATCGGACGCGTCCGGTCGTCCCGACCGTTGGAGCAGCGATCAACTGATTGGATGCTGCCAGTGTACGGTCACATACCACCGGACGTGTCCGGTCGCAATTTCGTCGCTCTGGAACCTTTCTGTACTCGATCGGACGCTGCAGTCCTGTGTCCGGTCAGTACTGAAGGTGTTGCTAGTGATGATGAACAGTACCATCGGTGCGTCCAGTCGATTCAGTACTCAGCATCCGATCGCTGCTGCTGACGCTTGCTGTTGCCGAGCCTCTTGATCAGAGCGTCCGGTCGCTTTCCGCCAGCGTCCGGTTCAGCATCCGGTCACCTCTGTGAGCTCGTTTCTTCATGATCTTTCATCCGGCTTGGTTTCTATCTTCATGCTTGCACTTTGCTTGGTATCTTGGGTCTTCTCTTGTGCTTCCAAGGTCTGTCCTTATGGTGTTGATCATTGGATCATCACGTCGCCTTCGTCCAAGTCACGTCTTGCACCCTATTGGACTACAAAACAATCACTTGCAAATTCATTTGTCTAATTTGGTTGTGTTGGTCGTCAAACACCAAAATGCAAAGTAAATGGCCCTAGGGTCCATTATTCTTACACATGGGGCCAACTCTTCTCATATTAAAGATATATATAACGTTTCTCTGTCATGGCCCTAGTGTCACCGCCACCAGAGCGCCACACCTCCCGCGCCCATCCCGGCCTAGGTTTTGCTGTGTGTGCCGCCAGAGCCTGCCGTACGCCTCTGGGGTGCGAGCGGGATGGGGAGGGGCGTCGGGAGGGGAGGGGAGGGGAGGGGAGGGGGCGCTCAAAGGAAGGGGATGGGAGGGAGCGTCGGGCTGGGGACGGGAGGGGATGGGAGGGAGCGTCGGGCTGGGGATGGGAGGGAGCATCGGGCTAGGGACGGGAGGGGACGAGAGTGAGAGACGGCTAAGTGTGGGAGAAGTGAGTGAACCCAAACTCCCCTCCAGTATATATAAACCTGATAGTTGGATTGGATATGTGTTTTTTCTGGGCCATGGGAGTACTAACCGAGGCGGACCTTATAAGAGCCCCGCCTCAGAAAATGGGGTACTTTTTTAGGTGGGTCACTTATAAGGCCCACCTCCGTTAATAGATTTTAGGAGGCAGTTATGTTTTGACCGCCTCGGTAAATTGATTTTGCAAGGGGTTGATTGTGACCGCCTGGGTTAATAAAAAATGACCGCCTCAATTAATCCCAGGCATTAATCGAGGTGGTTCAAATGCCCGCCCGCCTCCGTGCCCCTTTGTATGGGTCCGCCACAAAGAAAATCCATCATCAAGGTGCATGTATGGTGATGACGTCAGTTTACTAGAAATGATGACATGTATTGATTAACTAGAAGCAATCTACTGATTAACTAGAAGCATGGTGTAAGTAATACCATGACGCCTAAGAAGGGGGGGTTTGAATTAGGCAACTTAAAATTCAACTCTAAAACTATGGCCTCTTTTTCTAACCTTAGCAAAACCTATGCAAAAGATAAACTATCTAAATGTGCAACTACAGTTTTGCTAGTGTATTGCTATCTCTACTGCAAAAGGATTAATACAAACTTTGTAAATGCGGAAGCTAAAAAGCAAGGTAGATATATGCAAACTCCCATCGACGACTCCAGTTTTTTAACCGAGGTACCGACAAGCGCGCAAGCTTCTCCTTAGTCCTCGTTGGAGCCCCTCGCAAGGGCCAAGCTCCTAGTCGGGTAACTCCATGGATAGCCTCGGGCCTTCCCCACACATAAGTGGGTCTTCGACGTGCCTTTCGGCAAGCCTCTCCTAGATGCTGCCCGTCGTCTTCACTATCAACGTTCCGGCCGAAACGTCTTCACTATCAATTAATCCCAGGCATTAATCGAGGTGGTTCAAATGCCCGCCCGCCTCCGTGCCCCTTTGTCAAATGCCTCGGTTAAGTTTTATTGTAGTAGTGAGAATAACTTGTTGACTGTAAAGTTCAAGACGTGGTGGCTAAATAACTAGTTGACCATAAAGTTCAAGCGTAGGGATTCCAATGATTTGATCTAATTTTATGTCTAATTGTCGCAAGCATGTAGGAGAGGGAGAAACAACAAAAACTTAATTAAGCAAGTAATCTAGCACTACATTTTTCAAAAAAGATGTTTGGAATCACATGGACCTACCTTCTAATAGCATCTCCAATTGTTTCCAAAACCCACTCATAATCTTGAGTTTTTGGCAACATCGGAAAAAACTGCTCTCCAACAATTCCATATATTAACTCCCAATCATTCCGCACTTGGGAAAATTGACCCAATCACGCGTAAATATATGCACGCGTATCCATCGGCCAATCTAGAGATGGAAGGATGTGGAGAATAATAAGGAGTAGAAAAGGATTCCTAATGCAAATGTACATGAGAGAAAGAAAGTATAACCGTGGTTAGGGTGATTTAAAAATATTCCAGAATTTCTGATGCAAAATTGCTTTCTATATTTTAAGAGTGAGATTTTAGAAACTGTTGGAGGAGCTCAACAAATGTGCTTCCAACCTTTTTTTAGCCACTTGGAAAACTCATTGATTTATCAATTGTTGCTTTGGGAACGATTGGAGATGCTGTAAAGTCACCTCCTTCAATCCCCACTTAGTTTTGCAATTTTTGGATTGCTATTGTGAGGTCCTCCCTTCTCCACGGGCTATAGTTATGTCCCATGGAGAAATTGATTTAGATGGAGCCCCGTGGAAGCATCTCTACGGTAGAATTTTGATGAAGCAACACATCTAGAAAAACAAGGCATCATTGAAAATTGAATTTTAGAGTATGTTGCATATCCGCCTCTAGAAATCATTAATTTCTAGATGCACTTGAATAGAGAAGGTTGGAGAAACCGCCTTTAGAGCAACTCCATTAGACTCTTTATATCCTTCCTAACTAATAGGAATAGAGATTTTTTATCAAAAAGACCCTCCAATAGCTTCTTTGACAAGATCTCCAAATATAGTGGATTTCTCGCTAGTCAAATATAGAAGTTATTGAAGGGCAGAATGTATAGAACTATTTTTGTTAAAATGACTTTCTAATAATGATTTAGAGAGAAACTCCTGTGGATGCTCTTATATATCAATTTTGACCATGATTAAAAATCTTGTGTATAGAAGTGGATTGATGTAGGGGATAAAGAACTAGTCAAGTGGGAGGGTGCGTGGAGACTGTCTTTTAGTGAGTGCACGGACCTAGGACTGACCTCCGCCAGATTTATTAGGCGCATAATTGTACCACCGTGGATGCTGAGAAATTAAAAAGAAAAGTTCCTCACTCCATTGGCTCCTGGCACGACTAATGTGCCATGGCATCTTTGCCAAGAAATTAGGTAGTGGAGGGAGGAGTCATGCTTGGTCCGCCACAAAGAAAATCCATCATCAAGGTGCATGTATGGTGATGACGTCAGTTTACTAGAAATGATGACATGTACTGATTAACTAGAAGCAATCTACTGATTAACTAGAAGCATGGGCCAACTCTTCTTATATTAAAGATATATATAACGTATCTCTGTCATGGAAACATCGTCTTTTATGTGTCGCTATAAGCCATTAGACTGTTTTTTAGACAATATGTCTTTTGTAGTGTCTATAAATGACAATGAATAGTATCGCCGACATCAATCAATCAACTGTCAGTAGGGGCGTGCCCCTGCTGTTTTCTTCAAAACATCAATCAACTGTCTATGCCACTGTGCAAAAATGGTGGCTGGTGGGTCCCCTCGCACCCTGCTACCAGTACAAAAACTGCCCACACGGCGTCAATTCCTCTTTCACAGGCATAACCACTTATCTGTCTCTTCTTCACTCAGCGAAATGGAGAAGAAGGAGAAGGAGAAAAGCGAAGAGCCTTGGGTTGGCCGCCGCATCCTCGGGATCGCCGCCGCGGGCGCTGTCGCGGTTGCCGCCGGTGCCTTCTTGCTGCTGTCCTCGGTCGGGGACGACGAGCAAGCGGCAGATGATACGACGGCCAGGCCGAGGAAGACGATGAAGGGGCCGGGCTCCGGTGGCGAGCACATCTCCCGCGACAAGTTCGAGAAGGACGCCGCGAACTACTTCAGGACCGGGCGTCAGAAGGGACCCAAGGCCGCCGTTGACGAATTCCAGTAGCCGGCGACGTAAGGCGAAAAGCAGTATATATCTACTACTGTAATCTGCATGTACTTACGTGCATCCATACATACCACTATGTGCCTGTGCGTACGCAGCGATGAAGGAATATGTCGGGATAATCTTCATGTATATTTCAATATTTGTGTAGTATCATCGGAGCATGTGGCCACCCTGTACCATGGTCCGTAATAATTTGCGGTAATCAATGTACTTCCTCCGTTTCAAATTATTGGTATGTCTATTTTGCTATGCAATTAGATAAATAAAATATCTAGATACATAAAAAAATGAATAAACCAAAAAAGTAAAAGTGACTTATAATTTGAAACGGAGGAGGGATTGTTCATTTGTTGTTGCTGCTCCACCGAATAAAAGGCGCTTGCGCATGTACTGAAGCGGCCTGTAGTCTTTGGTCGTCACCGTCTCTATTCTACTCCTTCATGTTAGCCTTCTATTCTACCTGGATTTCTACCACATCTAAAATTTCTCAGCCAGTGGACTGTGGAGTGGATACAAACATTGTCTATGTTTAGTTCAGAGTTACATTGCCTGACAATATGTCTTTCCTTGCCATCCTGGGATGGATATGGAATGGTGCAAATGTAAGTGCAAGAATCGGTACTAAATTAAAAATTTGGCGAAGCTGTGTAGCTTTGTTGTCTTTTTTGCACTGAGAAGGGCACTTGGATTGCTTGGTTTATTTTTTGATAAAAAGGAATAGTCCTGAGCACTCACCCAAACAAAATCACAATTTTCACCATCCCTGTGAAACAAAAAACTACCAAATAGCAAAACAAGCTTTCGAGCACAAAAGCAGAACCTCATATATATAGCAAAAGCTAAGCACTAAGCCCTTTAATAAACAGCCACCCCTAATAATTAACAAAAATGCCTATCATAACTAGAACCGTAAGAATGGCCAACGGTTTTTAAACCGTCAAGCATTACTTTCTACAGTCAGCAAAGATAATTGCTAAGCACATATAACGTCGGAAAGTTACCGTCGGCCACTTTTGGTCACGGATTTCCTCATTGGCCAACGTTGCTATTTTTCCTTGACGATTTTGTTTTACCCATTGGGAAATGGATTTAATTAATGATGGAAATTTTAACTGTCAGGGATTATATATAAACCATTGGCCACATATATACATAAACATCATTTTTAACTGTTGACCTTACCCTTATCCATCGAATCTATCTATCCGACGGAGGGAGTAGTTTTATTTGACACGGACCGGAGAAAAAAACTATCTACTCCCTCTGTCCTACATGAATGTAATTTTGTTTTGAAAAAAAGAAAGAATGTAATTGTCGGTGCGAAAAGTGACCAATAAATAAATATTTGTAGTTTTATCGTACATTGTGATCGAATGTGGCCTAGCACTCAATGACACAGGGTTTATACTGGTTCAGGCAACGTGCCCTACGTCCAGTTTCAGTCGGTCGGTGACTTTATTCCTGAGCCCAGGTGCTCGACGTTTGCTGTGGGGTTACAAACGAGTGGGAATAAGAAAGGGGTGTTAGAGGTCCGGTCGGGCTCTGAACCGAAGGACCAAGAGTGACCGGGGCTCCAACGTGCGCTAAGTATTGAATGTATGCTCCGTGTAGCTTTGGAGTTCTAGAGCTGTGGAGCTGTTCGAGTGCTCCAAACGTCTAAAGCTTAGCAGAGAGAGAGAGAGAGAGTCAGAATGACCATCCTCCTTTTAGGAAAGAGTGCATCCCCTTTTATAGGTGAAGAGGACGGCCTTACAAATTAGGAGAGAGAGAAAGAGAGTGTGTGTGTTTTCTAGTCTTCTTGCCCACGCCGTTGGGTACAAGACAGTTTGTCGGCGCCCACAATATTGTAGACGCCCAAATGCATGTGGCGGGCTCCATCGTGTTCTTCTGGTATGGTAAATGTCGGCGCCTACCATACTGTAGGACAAATGTCGGCGCCCACAACACTGTTCGTATTCTGACATGTCTGAAAGGTTGCAAAGAACCCTTCTGGCATGGCATGGCGGTACTGTCCAGCAGGTGTGCAGGGTATAGTCCTCGGTATTGCGGTTGACTTGAGCGCCTTGTCTTATCTGCTCCGCTTGATTCTTGGGTCCTCACCGAGCGGGCGTCCCCGGTCGGTCGTTCCCAGTCGGCTCCGACCGCGCCGGTCGGAGAAGTGCTGTAAGCAGAGGTTCAATGTACTCCCGGTCAGAAAAGCGGGTCGGAGTCGGGAGTGAGCACCGTCCCCTCCTTAGCCAGGCCATCTGGTCGGAGACTGGATCACTTTTCTGGCCTGTCGTTAGGTATCTAGGCCAGCCCAGGAGTTGCGCGTCGTTCGTAATGCCATCTGCTGGGCCGAGCTTTTTGCTGGGAAGCGTGCCCATTAGGGACCCAAATTTATGAACCCGACCGGAGCCCCCGAGCCCTCGGGCAATTTGGGTAGAATTGCCTGGGGATTTTTCATTTTGGCATTGGGTGCGCGCAAGCGCACCCGATGGGTGTAACCTCTGAGCCCCCGGGCGATTTAGGTAGAATCGCCTAGGGGATTTTTTGACTTACCAGTGGTTGCACGCGAGCGCACCCGGTGGGTGTAGCCCGTTAGCCCCCGAGCGATTCGGGTAGAATCACCTGCGGGATTTTTCGACTTGCCAGCGAGTGGGTGTGAGAGCACCTTGGTGGGTGTAGCCTCTGAGTGAGATCCGACCCCTTGCCATGGCTGGGGTCTGGTGTCACTAAAGATCGGGGAGAGGATAGCAAAACTAGTAGGATAAAATGTCTCTTGTTTTTCGCCCGTACCCCCTTTCTAGGTTCTGAGCCATCGTTTCTAAGAGTGCGGACCCAGGCGTCGGGCGCGGCCGAGGGATAGGACGAGATGGAGTCACCAATCCAGGCATCGGGCGTGGCTGTTGGGCGCGCCGAGGGGTTGGGCGAGACGGAGTCACCAACCGAGTCATCGGGCGCGAGGAGGGGTCGAGCGAGACGGAGTCGCGGACCCAGGCATCGAGTGCGGCCGAGGGATCGGGTGAGACAGAGTCACCAACCCAGGCATCGGGCGCCAACCTGAACATTAGGCGCGGCCGGGGGGTCAAGCGCGATGGAGCGCGGAGCCAAGTGCCCGGTGTGGCCGAGGGGTTGGTCTAGTTTCGTGCATTACGCCATCCACGGTTTCCGCAACCAAAGGGGCTGAGCTAACGTTGCTTGCCTCGATGGCTCGAGTGCCGCTCTCGGTGAGCTCTCTAACGGGTATGTCTGAGTGGAATCCGGGTCCGTTGTTCGTAACGGAGTCGACATGGCCCTCATGTGGCATTCCACTGCTCCTTAACCCGCCTCCCGGCAGCTGCCTGAGCCATTCCGGAGACCGTCTTAGGTGGCCTGCTGGCCTCCCCTCGATGGAGATTCTGTGAGCATGGCTTGAGGTTAGGATCAAACGAGAAGGTCGAGATGACCCTGTCTGCTTCTGAGCAGATCGGGCAAGGGCCGCTGGAGCTCATCTGCATTTCTCTTCCCTAGCTCTGTTTGACGCAAGGTGGCCTCGAGCCCTTCACTGGCCGGCCTTCAAACCCCGGTCCGTCGTCGCTCATGTCGAATGAGGCGACTACTGCTTCGTGATGTAACACGAAGCGTTGTGATGCATCAATTGCATATGCAATACTTTGGATGTATGGCATGAATGAATGATTGTATGGATGAATGTGTGAATGCGTGTATGAGAAAAGATGAATGAATGATTGTATGGATGAATGTGTGAATGCGTGTATGAAAAGATGAATGAATGATCATGCATCAGAAAATAAAATAAAGTAAGAAGGTTTGGTAAAGTTACCTTGATGACTCGAGTGACTGGTTTGAGGAGCTCTTATCGGATATGTCTGAATGGGATCCATGTCCATCGTTCAAGACGGAGATGGCATAGCCCTTACGGGGCATCCCACTGCTCCTTACCTGTCTCTGGGTAGTCGCCTGAGCCATTCGATCGACTCAGGCAGGCTATTGGTCTCTCATTGATGGAGTTCCCATTGTTGGGCCCTTCCAGGCCCTGCCTGGGAAGGCAGGGGGGCATTTGCGTGTGGTTGCGCCTTGTTTCCTATGCCCGGGTTGCGGTAGTGGTGGGCCATGCCCAGGCCATGTCCTGTTTAACCAGGCGTCATTTTGTTGGGCAGAGCGAGTCCCATCAGTCAGGATGCGTCCTACAGCATCCCTGCCTGCATTAAATAGGCGAAGGGAGAGGGTTTTCCTCCCATTCTTTCGCCTTTCTCCAACTGCTGCCTCTTCTCCTTCCTTTTCGCCAAGCTCATTCGTGCGCTGTTGTAGTTTCTAGGAGAGAGGGTAGAGCGAGGTAGAGGAGAACTCACAGATTTATTCATGAATCCAGGGCATGATGTCGAGCTGGAGACCATCCAACATAGACGAGGAGGTGTTGCCCGCCTTCACCGAGAAGGGCCTGCTCTTGTCGAAGGAGGTGGCGCATTGGAGGGCTCCCGCACTAGGGGAAGCTGTTCCGCAACCACAGGCCGATGAGGTTGTCACCTTCCTCGTCTTCCATGAGCACGGGCTTGGATATCCCATGCACTGGTTCTTGCATAGGCTCCACAATGAGTGGGGCCTAGAGCTGCAGCACCTCAATCCGACTAGGGTGCTGCACATGTCGGTTTCATAACCGTCTACGAGACCTTCCTCGGGATGGAGCCCCATGTGGACCTCTTTCGGCGGATCTTCACCGGGCGAGCCTTGTCTAAGGGGAAGCCACCCAGAACCACGCCGGTTGGGGGTTTTGCCCTACAGAAGAAGCCGAGGCCATTGGGCTCCTACCCCGCGTAGCACCCCTGCGACTCCAATCGGGGGTTGTATGGTGAGTGGTTCTACATCAGGAACCCAACAGAGGTGCCATTCCCGCCGTTCACCGAAAGAAGACCGGAGAGGCAGGAAAGCTAGTCGTGGGGACCCTCTAGTCGGCAGAACAAGCTGTAGGTCATCGAGGCGGAGCTTCAGAAGCTGGTGCAGCATGGCCTTGATGG